GAAATGTTGCCTCCATTTCTCCTCCTCTTCTCCACTCTTTAGAATCTGACTTCCAGCCCCTTCACTGAACTAAAAGTGCCCTCTCTGAAGTTTTGCTGATGATTTCTTCATTGCCATCTCTTGGCAGTTTTTTCCTCAGTCCTCATCCTTCTTTACCTCTCTGCAGTTTTTGACACTGTTGACCGCCTTTTCCTCTGAGATTCTGTTCTCTAGATTTTCATGACATTATTCTCTTCTGCTTCTCCTACCTGTCTGTTTTTTCTTAGTCTCCTTTGCTGGCTCATCATCCATATCATGAACTGTGGGTCGGTGCTGAGCCTTCTTGTCTTCTCTTTCTATATTCTCTTACTCTGTGATCTCGTCAGCTTATATAAAGATAACGTGACCCCAGTATCTTTACCAAGTTCCTGTCTCACATCATCTGCTACCTATTAGTAGACATTTCAAACTGGATGGCCCATAGACATACCAAGCTCAACATGTCCAAAACAGAAGTCATGAACTTCCCTGTTTCTGTCAAGAGCACAACCATACGTCTGTTCTCCCAGGTTTGCAATCTCAGAGTTATCCTCAGTAACTCATTCTCCACCCCACATAGCCGATCATTTTCCAAATGTTGGTTTTTATGTAAGTTCTCTTGCATTTTTTCTCTTCTCACTATTCATATATCTTCCACTGTAGTTTAAGCTCACATCACTTTTTTTGCCTGGGCTATGGAAATAGCCTCCTAATTGATCTGCCTACCTGGTTTCTCTCCATCCTCACAGCTGCCAAAACGATTTTCCGTAAGTGCTGGCCTGAGCGTGTCACACCCCTATTCAATAAACTCAGTAGCACCCTTTTGCCTCTAGGACAAAATAGACATCTCCATGGCTTTCAGAGCTGTTTATAATCTTGCCCCAACCTACCTTTCCATATTTGTTATACATCACTGTTCTTCCCACACACAATCTGGTCTAAACAAACTTTCCTTTTTTCTTTTCCACATGGCAGTCCATCTCCTGTCTGTGTACCTTTGCACTGGCTGTCCCCCATGCCTCAAATACACTCTTTCCTCATTTTTACCGTGTAAAATCCCTTACTTCAGAGGTGAGGAACCTACACTTTGTGGCCTTCCAGATCCGTAAGTGCAGCCTTTTGACTGAATCCAAATTTTACAGAACAATTTTCTATAGAACATTTGTTCTGTAAAATTTGGATGTAGTCAAAAGGCTGCACTTAATGGATGTAGAAGGCCACCTCAAGGCAGCAGCTTCCTCACCCCTGCCTTACTTCCTTCAAGATTCAATTTGAGCCCTACCTTCTAAATGAAGCCCTTCCTGATCTCCCACCTGCTAATGTCCTCCTCCAAACTACCCTGCATTTATGTTGTGTTTGTTTTGTCCATATGTATGTCTGTGCATGTTGTCTCCTTAACAGAATGTAAGCTTGAGTGTAGGAATTGTTTGATTTTTGGTTTTATATTCTCAGCACTTAGAATGGTACCTGATGCCTAGGTAGATGCTTGATAAATGCTTGTTGATTGATTGATGCAACCATAGAAAGAACTTTATCCAACAATCCTGTCATCAATATCAAGTACGGAATAGGCTGTTGTGTTGCTCACCAAGGATCAAGGTCTGGACCTTAGGCCCAACTGAACCATATTTTGCTTCTAGCACAGCAGCTTCCCGTTTCTAGAATGGGTCCAGGGGACCTCGCTTTCATTGTCTAAGCTATCATAGAGCATCTGTCCTTACCCTTACTTGACCAAGAGTCCTTGGTACATCTCTGCCTATGCTTGAACACCTCTAGTGTGTGTGGGGGGGGTCTTCTCTCTGTCTCTGTCTCTGTCTCAGGGTTAAGTCACTTGCCCGGGGTCACACAGCTAGTAAGTGTCTGAGGCTCAATTTGAAATCAGGTCCTCTTGATTCCAGGGGAGGTACTCTGCTGTCCCTCTCACTTTCTCCTGAGGCAGTCCTTTCAACTTCTGGATTATTTTGATTGTTAGGGAGGTACCTATAACCTCCCTTTCCTGGTGCTCTTGGGTCATGTGGCTTTCTTAAGCCTATGAAAGACATGTTACTTATTTATTATTCACTGAAAGGTTGCATTATCTGAGTTGCCCACAAAAAGGGCTCTGTAGTTGAGGCACCAGCCCAATGTCTTATCAAAGTCTCTGTCTTATGCATGAGATAGCCTTCCTAAAAGGCTGCAGTATCCCTACTAACTGCCAGCAGGCACTTAGGCTACATATTCTTAGATTGCTCCCTCCGCTACCAAATCTATAGCTGTAAGAAGAGCAATGGCCAGGTCCAGAATTAATCTTGGGCAGGGGTTCTTATTCTGGGATTCATGAAAAAAATGCACATATATGTATATGCACATACATATACACATATACATAATATAACATTGTATATAACTGTATAATATATAATTTAATTGTAATATACATTTCCTTTGCAATCTTTTGTGTTTCATTTATGCATCTAGGAACCTTATTCTGATAAGGCATCCATAGGCTTCACCAGACTTCTGAAGGGGTTCATGACAAACAAAAGTTAAAAATTCTTGATGTAGGGGATGCAATATAATATTATTCAGAATATTAAATTATAAAGTCTATAATCTATACACAGTTCTAGAGCCCCCATCTCATATTTGAACTTTACTGTCTTTGATCATGAATTCCCCCCACATTAATTAGACTTGGATACTTAACATACTATGATCATAAAGTTGTTTTTTTTAATAGTTTAAATAGAAGGAAATAGGCTAAATGCACCTATGTACAAGCCATTCACTTCTCGCTATGTCCTAAACCATGCTTCAGCTAAACATCACAGATCTTTGAGGATGGCAGGGGAAATTCCCAAATCATTCATACCTACCATCATGCAAAGGAATAAGATATGTCTGGGACCCGATCTCAAGACCATAGACTATAACAGGGGAAACCAGGGGAAGAGTGGTGAAATCGTTCTCTTCCCCTAGATCATTAGATGAATGAGAGTCATAATAGCTTTTACATTTAGTTCTTTGGGTCCTCCAGAATTACTGATCTTAAAATGTGTATTTCTAGCCTTGTAGGCCACTTCATAAGTTTGAGAGGTCAGGAATTTCTGGATCCCTCAGCTGGAGCTGACTAGACAGCTGGAGCTGAATGGAGTTTTCTGTACCTTCCTAGGAGAGGATGACAGGAGGGTAAACTCAAGTCCATGGACTTTGAGGGAGTTCTTTATACAGCATAGAACTGAAGTGAAAGTAAAATAGTCTAGCAGTCTCACAAAATGCTTCACATTTGATGTTTTAAACATCAACCTTCTAGGAGAGAATAATAGAAGCTATAGGTTACTATTTGATGTTTTAGGTCTTTGTTAAAGTGTGCTTATGAGTCTTTTTATGATTTAAGCATTTCTTTTGTGTGTAGGAAATAAATAGCTGTCCTATACATGTCCAACATTGTACATTGAATGCCTATCTGTTTCCTTTTGGAGAGACTCTAGACATGAAATAAATTTAAGCTTTGAGTGAGTTTCCCTGGGGCTCTGGGGTGGGAGTGTAAAGACCTTGAGAGTTTAAGAAAGAGTCTGAAACCTTCTCTCTTTAGAAAAACTCCCTAGGACCCTAGCTCTGGGCTCAGTCCATAGGACTGATTCTGGTCCATATGACCTCAGAGCTAGGGTCCCTCAGTGGAAGTAGGCCAGAACTGACCTGTATTTACAAAGAAATAATACACTAGTACCGAATAAATAGAAATGAATTTAAAAGAAATCCACTCAGTCCCAGGCAACTTGGCCCTAAACTTTGTAAGCCATTCTATCAAGCTATAGTTTTCTAGGCCAAATTTGACCCATCGTTATCCTCCCTGCACTTGACTTATTTAGATATCTTTGCTTCCAGGAGACCCCTGCCTAATTTAGGAATTTACCCAGCTGGGTGCTCTGAATTGAGGTCATCCTCTTGCTTGTCAACTGAAAGCTAATCCTCAACCAATCAGAAAGCTTTCTGATGGCACAGCTGGCTTATAGTACTCCACACATATTTGGATCATAGAATTTAGAGCTGAATGGATGGAGACTCAGAGATCATCTAGACCAGTTTCCCCATTTAACAAATAAATAAGCTGAGTCCCAGACAGGTGAAGGGATTTTTTCAACATTACATTGGTAATAAGTAGCAGACTTGGGATTTAAGCATAGGTCTTACTCCAAATCCAGTGCATTAGGTAATTACTTGCTCATTGTATAATTTCCTATCCTCACCTCTACTCCAACTCCCTATACAATTAAGGAAATATAAAGAACTGTTTTATGGTTCCCATAATTCAGCCCAGCACACAGGTGATCTCCCAATTTGTCATCAGATACTCCTCTGCACTGCTACATAGGTGCATTTCATAAAAACAAATTATATATGGGTCTGTGGTTCCTGCTGGGTCTAGACTAGTGATTTTAATGGATCACTGGGGTTTTGCCAGCTTGTGTCAGGCATGTTGAATTTCTAAGTTACTGTTAGTTGTCTTCTCACACTGCAGCAACCCTGTCCTTGCTATTTTTCTCCCAATGTCTGAAGTTAATTGATTCATAGAACTTTACACCCTTAGGTGAAAGGCTCTCCTGCAGAAATGACGAACATGATATTCCAAGGAGGTTATTCTGGTCATATGGCATGTGAGATTGCTTAGGGAATGCAAGTAAGGAATTATACCTTTAGGCATGTGTTTTGTTTGAGATCTTTATGAAAAACCAAGTTTAAAATACATTAAGGGGAATGGAAGGTACCAGGAGATAATGGAAACTATCTGAAATATAAGGTCATGGAGAATGTAAACGTTCACAGGTTTTCTAGTCATTGAGGATGGGAATATGGCAAGAATCTTTCGAGTCTGAATTATAGGCATTATGTATGTTTTGTTAATATTATCAATAAATATTTTCATTCGATACTTCTCAAAGCAGTAGGAAGAGTATTAAAATTATCTGTGAGGTAAATAGGATTTTTCTCCTCTTTTATAGGCATCATTACCCAAGAATACAAGCGATTGCCTGCTGGAGTTAGAGATGGACCTTGGGAATCCAAAGTTTCTGTTCAGTGTTCTATCACTTTAGAATCATGGAGTTAGACAGAACATCAGAACCGTGGTCCAGACTGTATGTTAACAGGAATCCCTTCTGAAGGATGCCAGCGTGCTTGTCCAGCCTTTGCTTGAAGACATCTCCCACCACATCTCAAGAAGTAAAACTTCTTGAGGCAGCCAGTTGCCCTTTTGGATTGCTCTAATTGTTAGCTTTTTCTTGAATCAAGGCCTAAATTTGCCTTTCCACAACTTCTACACATTGTTTCTAGTTATGTCTTCTGAGCCAGTCTAATGCCTCTAACCTACTAGTCTAATAACCCTAAGTGCTCTTGTATCTGACAGCTCTTCAGATACAAGAAGACAGCCATCATATGCCTCCTCAGTTTTCCCTTCTTCAGGATATCTATCCCTAGTGCTTCCATTAACGCTTATATTTCATGATCTCAAAGCTATTCATTTTCCTGAGTGCCCTTATCTTTATATATATATATATATATATATAATATATATATATATTTTTTGGTTTACTAATAGTCTAACTAAAATATAGTACCTAGAATTGAACAAAACACTCCAGATATTGTCTGACCACAGCAAAGCACAGCAGGACTTCTCTCTCCCTTGTTCTGGACATTATGCTCTTTTAAAAAGGAGCTGAGAGCACATTAGCTTTTTTGGCTGCCATATCAAATGCTGACTCATATTGAGCTTGCAATTCACTAAAGCCCCCAGATCTTTTTCAGGGGAAGTGTTGTCTGACAATGCTTCCCCCATCTTACACTTATGAATTCAATTTGTTTGAATCTAAGCATAAGACTTTACATTCATCTCTATTAAACTTAATATTATTAGATTTGACCTAACATTCTAGCACATGGTGAACCTTTTGGATCCCACCTTTGTTTTCCAATATGTTATCTGTCCTTCCCAGTAGTGTGTTCCTTTAACAAAGTCATTGATAAAATTGTTAAATAACACTAGGCAAAGAATAAGCTCCTGAGACACTCCTCTTAGAGACCTCCTTCCTAGTTGACATCAAGCCAGGAATACCTACCTAGTCTTTGGATCTGGCCAGTCAGGCAATTACAAGTCTACTGACCAGTACCATTGTTCAATCTACATCTATCTTGACCACACACACACACACACACACACACACACACACACACACACACACACGCTTTGTTAAATGCTTTCCTAAAACCCACACAACGCTATATCTATGGTATATTTCTGATTAGCGAGTTCTGGTCAAAACAACCCTATTTTAAAAAGCAATAAAGTAAGTTTAGTATGACCTGTCCTTGATTAAACCATAATGAAATATTGTGATTACTTGTTTCTTTCCCAAATGTTTACTGTCTCTTTTATAACCCATTCCAGAATTTTGACAGGAATTGACATTAAACACACCAACCTATCATATGAAATATCTATTTTCTTCCTGTTTTTGAAAATTGGGACATTTTTGTTTATGTGGTCCCATAATACTGCTCCTGTTCATCATGATTCCTCAAGATCGCTGCTACAACTTCAGCAATCATATCTTTAAATTTTTTCAGTACTTTGGGATATTGTTTAGCAAGATGAGGTTATTTGACTTCATTGAGGGCAGCTAAGTGCTCTCTTATTCAATTTGGATTTCAATTTCCTCTTAATCATTTTTGTTCTGTCCTGAGGCTGTATATCACTCTACTTGAAAGAGAAAACAAGTACTTTCTCTTCTTTACCCACCATTGTCTTCTCACCCAAACCTGACTGATTAGTTGATTGAAACCAAGCAGGAATCCAAGCCCTTTTATTGTTGTTAGCATTTATTTGTGGCCTAGGCTTATGTTAGGCTTTAACTTTCCTATCACAGTTCTTGCTAGACCTTGACATTTTTTTGTATTTGTCATTACTTTCACCTTTTGTATGTATTGAGGTGGATCTGGGATTTCATCATTGTGGGCACCCCCAGTAAGGATGCGGGTCACAGCCCATTCATGCCTGTGACTCCTATGCAGCATCTGTCCCCCGCCTTCTGTGAGTTTGCGGTTGGGCTCACGCCCACCATGCTGGGGGCTTGCTTTGCTTTCTCTGGATGTCACAGAGCCAATGGTGGAGCATGTTGGGGAACCATCTTTATCCTTCAATTTCATGAGGCAAGGAGAAATGCAGAATTGCCCTCCAGCCCTCTGCAGTTTCTGCTGTGATGGCCAGCATCTGCGTATAAGGATAGGTTAGAGCTTAATATTTTTCCAAGTACTTTCACATACATTATCTCTTTAGAATACATTATCCACTTGCTTAAAACTCTCTGTTGTATGCCTTTTCCTGTAGGATAAAGCCCATATTTCTCTGCCTCATATTCAAGACCAGTCACAGTCTGAACTTTTCTTACTTCTCCAACCTTATCTCCTCCTGCTCCACTGTAAAAGCTTAATGGTTTGCATGACGTTGGTAGGTTTTTATGTCTAATTTTTTATGTGTACATGTGAGTTTACTGGTTCCATGTACTTTTTGTATCTGCTTCTCCACTTCCTTTTTAAAAAAAATCTAAGTACCTATAGCAAGGTCTATTATAACCATTGGTTCATCAACCTAACATTTCACCATGCTTATTTGAAAGCTGGTCCCATTTTGCTTCTGAGAGAAGAGGAAAAGCTCCTTTTTGTTTGAGGTTTGGTCAGGTATGGATGTAGGGACAGTGTACTTGAAAGGACTTCATTCTTTTCTAGGCTCTTGACCCCAGTCTACTTGAACTTCAAAAATTTTAAAAGATTAAGGACAAAGCTGGTTCCTTTTTTCTTGTTGACTCTATCAGCCCTTCAGTGTCACCCTGAGAGACTGTAGCTATCCTGTGAGTCTGGGCCAATTTGAGCATAAGGATTTAGAACATGGAGAATTGCTTTGCTTATTAGTAGAATGGAAGGGTGATTGAATCCCAGGGGAAGGGAATCTGACAGGCAGCTGCATACTCAATGAGGATAGTGGAGACCTCTCTTTTCTCAACACTGGAAATGCTAGAGATGGTGATTAGGATAATTACTATTGTTGCCGTACATGTTAAGCATTTTATAGCGTTTTGTAATCACTTATTAACTCTACCCCACCACAGCCCTAGATGATAATTCAGTATTGTTCTAGACAGATGCATTAATTAAGGACCAAGCCTCAGTAGCCATCTAACAATACTGCTAAGTGGGCTTAGCACCAGTCCAAGTTTGGGAATGTATTCTGGTGGCTCTGCTAATCAGTATTATTTTGGAAAATGATTCAATTACTAGGCCTCTGTATCCCTAGCTTTAAAATACGAAGAATATATTGACCTACATTAGAACATTTCTATGAGGATAGATAACAAAAAATTATAATTAAGGTGCTTTGCAAAATAAAAAAATGAGCTCTTACTGTCCAATAACAAAAATAACTCATTTTAATTCATGTACAACTCATGTATGAGCCTTCTGTGCCTTGATGCTATTATTCTAGTGGCTCCTGTTATTATAGCTTGGATTCTTAGAGGCATTCATTTAGAATAGATGTTGGGTGCAATAATTAGTTGGATATGTGGGTTCTCATGTTTATTTGTTATTGTTCAGTGACGTCTGAATCTACATGACAAAAGTCCATGGGTTTTTCTTGGCAAAGTTACTGGACGGGTTTGCCATTTCCTTCTCCAGTGTGCCCCCATTTTACAGATGAGGAACTGAGATAAATAGGGATTTAGTGACTTGCTCAGGGTCACACAGCTAGTAAGTGTCTGAAATGAGATTTGAACTCAGATCTTCCTGACTTCTATCCTGGTGCTCTATCCACAATATCACCTAGCTGCCTTCATATTTGTAGTCTGGGATTATGGAAAAGATTACACTGAGAAGAGAGGCTTACTGATTTGCCTAATGATTTTTGTATTGGGGATTGCAGGGGCCATAAGAAAGACATTCCTCCAGATGGCTCAGTGGAGGCATCCTCCACTGGGTGGAGGATGGGAGAGAGATATATTTTTAAATGAAGGTGATATAAAAACAAACATATCAGTAGGAATATACTTTAAAAAAGAGATTCTCCTAACTGGAACTCTTTAATCAAGAAAGCTACTCCTTTCATCCTAAACACTTGGCTTTTTCTGGATTGAAGTGGAGATTTAAAAAAAATTTTTTTTAGGCAGTTGGGCTTAAGTGACTTGCCCAGGGTCACACAGCTAGTTAAGTGTCATGTTTGGTCTGAGGCTGGATTTGAACTCAGGTCTTCCTGACTTCAGGGCCAGTGCTCTATCCACTGTGCCATCTTGCCCTGAAGTGGAGTTTATTATACATAGTAAGAATACATCTTTAGTTCTCATCTTGTTATGATATAGAGTCTATTCTGGCTTAATTCTATAAAGAAATCTCTCTTTCCTTGGGAATTCTCAAAATTCAGTTTTAACCCAAGGCAGAGTTCTGAGACTGAATTAGCTGGAGCTGAGAAAATGAGTTAGAAGGCAGCAGATTTCAATGATACAAGTTGGAGAGAAACAGAAACCTTGGTCAGGGCCAGTGTTGAGCTAACAACACTCACCCCGAGTGACAAAACCAGAGAGAGGAAGTGTGGAGGGACTGTAGCCAGAGTTGGAGAGAGATGTCTGACTGTGGTGGGAGCAATAGGGTAACCTTTCCCCCTGTGCAAATTAGACTAGTTTCTTCCCTGAAGTCTGTCAGTAAACAATTATTAAGTGTCTACTATGTGTCACATACTGCCAAATGCTGGGGTTACAAAAACAGATAAAAGACACTCCCTGCCCTCAAGGAGTTTACAATCTAACAAGCAAACAAATGGGTACAAACAAGCTATATAGAGGATAAATAAGAAACAAATAAGAGAAGGAGAGGCTCTGGAATTAAAAGGGATTGGGATTTAAGGGAAGGTGGAGGTAAGGAGGAATCCACAGGCTTTGGCAACAGATTGATTATGACTGTGAGAGATAGTGGTGAGTAGAAGGTGACACTTAGGTTTCAGGTTTGAGGGAGGATAGTGTTGTCCTCTGTGGTAATAGGAGAGGTAGGAGGCAGGGAAGGTTTAAGGGGAAAGAT